GGGACTGCTGTAACGCCTGCATAACATTTGTCTAATTAAAAAAGAAAATGATAAGTTTCTGTAAGTGACACATTGTGACTCTTTAGTCAATGCATCTGGGAAATGAACATGAACTTTCTGGCTACACTTATAGCCTCAGGCTGAAAAACAGTGATAATAGGGTTGAGTGTGTAGCAGAATTATCACATTAGCTACATTTTTTAACCAAAATGTAGCCATGTTTGGGGAGTGACTAAAGCTAGCTAGCACTAGCTTGATCGACCCCGAGATACTCACCGGTTGGCAATGAAAAGTTCAAAATCAAATGAACCACGGATGTAAAAAGCCATTTTAAAAAGAATCATTTTCTAAAGGCATGGCAAATCTACTACATGCTGCCAGAAAGCGAGAGAAATCAAAACTTCAGAAAACAGGAAGGCTGAAAAGTAGTACAGCAACGTTTCTCCGTTTCAGAAGCCCAGAATAAATCTGGAGATTAAAATCCAAAGAGATTTCTTAGTACACATCGAGTTTGCATATTGTGAGGAAGTTATTCTACAGGTGAAATGACTGTAGAATAACTGAACTATTATGTTGGTTTTGAATAAACATGGGGGAAACTGGGTCATCACTTTCTGTAAAAAAGCCCAAAGGAAGGGAAAATGGTCTCAATTAAAATGGACCACTTCACCATTCAGTTGCACAAGACAATTCTGTGAACAAATTAGTTACTGTAAATTATGGGACAAACACTTTAATCCAACTTTAAGTAATAGTTTTCGGAGTAGAAAAAAACTAAACCAACTAATGGAAGGATATTTTAGGAAGATTTTCCATCTATACTGGTCTAAAGCTTGGTGAAAGTAAAATCTGTACTCTTGACTGGACAGAAACAGATTTTGGATTGACCCACTTGAGCTGGCCTCATGTCTAAAACCTCCCACCGCTAATGAAAGCCAGCGGAGTCCGACCGCCATCTTGGCTCAGGTCTGCCAGGCGAACAGCCGCTGCAGAGTTCGACTGTGAGCTGTGGTGTGTTTGCTGAACATCTGGAGCCAGTTTAATTCCACTCAGCATTTAATCCTCATCCCAGCCGTCCAGTTGTTGGAGGGGAAAGTACAGAGTTTCTGTAAGAACTCAGGTCCCCTTTTGCAATAAGCAAAAATCTACACAGGTTGACTGTTAATTACCCGCAAGGAAGAAGGCTTCAGGCAACCAATAGAAAGCTGACATTTTTTAAGACCATAAGTCTTTTCTCCATAAGACAAAAAACTTTTAAAACTAGACATGCAGAAATAAAAATGAGGAAGCACATCATATTCGACTACATTCATCCTTTTGTCCATACCGTGCAAACATAGCCACATGCTAACATTAGCCTAGCCAAAGAGTATACTTTTTATATTTAATAAGCCAAAAATAAAATGAATGAAAACGACATTTGAAATGTCTCCTGGAATGTCAAATTTGAATTCACAAAGAGTCAGAAATGACAGCGCTAGCTGCATGTAGCGCTACCTTTCATTAGCCAAAAACAAGGTGTGAATGAAGTTTGCTTTGACAAATTCACGTGGAATCGTCAGATGTGTTCATGAACTCAACACTTCAGCGTTTCAGTCAAAAAATGAAAAGTAGCCAGTAGCCATCTACAAAGCTGCTGAAAGAAACTTGCCTAATATGCACAAACGTCAATAAGAAAGTAATTACAATGGCTGCTGTTGGAGAGTCAAAGTTTTAAGAATATACCTTCAACATGCTTCAAACTACACACTAATGGCCATATTTTCCTTTTGTTTAAGGTCACTATGGCAACCAGCCTCCATATAAGGTAGGGGATTATAAATGTGTTTATTTTTCTTCATATGGCTTTTCAACAGTGGCACTTAGGAACCCACGAAGTGTCTCAGTAAAAATTCATATGTTTAAGTCAAAGACTTTTTTCTAAACAGACTAAAAACACCAACGCCAATAGAAACTTCATGCATTAAAACACTGTAGGTAGACTGAACAGTGGCCTCATCCTGTCACAGAGTCTTCATGATTACCAAATGCCAACCCTTCTCTGTCCCAACGTTATAAATTTAAAGACATGGAGCTTGATAAGCTCTACTAGAACCTTTGCTTTGGTCAGACACAACTAGGGTTGAACTTTGCTGTGTTAAATGCTTTAGGTACGTTTGGCATTAAAAGAAGGAATGCCTGGAAAAGCAACTCCTTCCCATTGTTGAGTACGGTAGAAGACCTGGGATGTGTGAAAAATGCAAAAGGTGTTTTCTCAAGATAATGAGCCAAAATATATCAAAATAAATGATTTAGACACTTTGAAAATCTAGAGAGACTAATCAAAGAGTAATTGTTAAATAGATTCTCCAACTTTGTAAAAAATTATGGAAAAAGAAAAAGCACCATCTTTATACAAAGTATTGGCAGCAGTGGTACCAATCCTTGTACCAAACAAGATTTTTGTTAAAAAACTTAAAAAAACAAAACCTAACATATCTTTAAGAAATGTGTTCCCCAAAGGTTCCCACCTGAGGGCATCCATCTTTGTTTTTAACAATCCACCTTAACCAATGAGCTTACACAGCTAATTTCAATCCATCAAATTGGTTTAGACCATGTGGGAGTACAACAGTTTTGTACTATAATATCACTTCGAACAGAGAACCATGGGATGTCTGAAGGAAAACCAATGCCCTCGTTCAGCTCTGTAGCCAAGAGAGACGCCGTTTCAGAGGATGAGAGGTTTAGATTATGGGGTCTTGGTGACATGCTGCAATCAGAGTCAGATTTGTTGCGAAACAGAATCCGCGCATACCCACAGAGCCCTGAAGATCTAAGAGTGGGAACCTTTTAGTACAACCCCTTTCTTCCGACAGCCAGCCTCCATTTTGTGCTCGAGAAAGCAAACCATGTCAGAAAGATCTGTAGCTGCCGGTGGAAACAAAAGCTGATAAATATACCAGAGAAGTAAACAAAGAAGAAAGAAAGACAGCCACTCCCCAGGGTGATTAAGACTTGGCAACAGGAAATTAAAAGTGATCCATCAGATCACGGTTTCAAGAAAAAAAAAAAAAAAAAAAAGGGCAAAGCCACTAAAACCACATGGCATTCCCAGTGAGCTCCTCTGACCAAACGCCATATTGAGATCTGGAGATCAGTCACACATTCCTGTCACTCAGTACAATTCAGTCACAAGCAACTGCTTTCAGGCAATTCCTCTGTATCCTTTCTGTTCCACTGATCCTTTATGAGACATTTCATGGCCCTAATTTTATATTTTGCTGATTTAGATGCTTTAAAACACCTCAATAGTTATGGTTATCCAACCACAGAGCTTCCAAACAGCATCATCAACTCCCCATGGGGGACTGGGACAATGCCAAATGGAGACAACCATCCGGTGTGAAGGAGCAGGGAGGAGTTGGGGGAGGAGAGGAGGCCACAATGGAAAAGATGTTCAAAAAGGAGGTTCGCATGTCAAAATGGGGGGCGGCGGGGAAAAGCAAGGAAAGAGGAAGCAAGAAAGTGGGGGAACCATTTTGCATCTCTGCCAAGTTAAACAGCTGAAACAGCCCAGACACAAAACCCCCATCTGATCTGAAAGCAAGGCAGAACCAAAGTATTTAAAGGTCTGGAGATCTGACAGAGTTATCTGGAGTGTGGGCGCTGCCAGATGCATCAAATTAGACCTGAGCAAGTCTAAAAAAAACACACGTGTTCTTCCGTGTTTTTTTCCCTCCCTGTATTTTCCTTGGACCATAACATCCTAAGTGTTAACCGTTGTTCTTGCACTGGATCAGATCCAAAAACATCAGCCCCTTTTGGGCTGTTGAGACAATTGTTGTCTAATTCAAGGATATTAATAATATCCGTCATTAACCTTGAGTGGTACAGGTTTCAAGTCCATTGTTTTCTGTGAGCAGCAGATCAAACTGTAATCTGAATCCCCAAATCTGAGAATCCCCAGAATTTTCATTCCAGTAAATCCACCAGCTCTGTGTACTTTAAACGTTGGTGTTTAATAAGCCTGATGTTCACCCTTATTCTTGCTAAACATACCATTTTGTTGAACTTGCGCCGCTATCCACTTTGACAATGTTGATACAAAACACGTGTTCTGCCGTTGACTACCAGATAACCCATCAAACGACCAAAATGAGCCAATGTTCCTCTCACTGGTCAGTCAAATGCATAAAAACTAAGAATTCCCAATCATTGTTGGTCCCAAAACACAACCTACAACATGGAGGCTTTTGGTTTTTGATGCTTTGTGTGTTCTAATCTTAGATCAGCTCATTAACCTAGGGATAAAAGTAGAGATGCACCAAACTTTTGATGACTGGCTGCCCAAATGCTGAACAAGCAGGATCCTGAAAACTGGGAACTCCCACCATTTCATCACCCAGCAGCTTAAAACGACAGAAAGGTTAAGGGAGCAGCAGAATCCTGTTGCAGATCACCTACATTTACCTTTGGATTTACGACTGAATTTTATCAAAGGTGGCTCCAGCACATTTAATCTGTAATGTTCTAACGTTCTTATAGGAACAAAAGAAAGTCAGAACCACAACTGGCAACAACAACAGCAACATGATGCCAGTTTGTTTGTCCATCATTGTGGATCTGGTTTAAGTGGAACCAGATCAGATCATTTCAAACACATTTTAAGGGTTTTAACCAATAAATAATACAATTGGTATCTGTTGTGCTTGTTGCCACATCAAGACTCATATGAGAGGTCGGGTTCAGGCCAAGCAGGCCATTGTTTGGGGTGTAAAAACACACGGGCCACTGTTGTGTGTGCATGTGTGTGTGTGACTGGACCGTGTCCTGTAAGGCTCATTTAGGATGTGCAGTAAAGGATGGGAGTGAGTGGGAGTTGGGAGTGGGGGGGTTGGGATGGGGATGCAGGCTCACATTCCATCACGTTAACACTTCCTCTGCCAACACACTCACGCCCTCACTCACACACCAATCCGGGAGACCTGGTCTGGGCCTGCATGGACCACCACACCCACCTTGCCTGGTGGAGACGTTCCTCTCGTTCCCGGCGGTGAGCACGACCTGCGGGTGGCTCTGCTCCAGCACGAACAGCTCATCCTTGCCCACCCGCGCGCTCTTGCCGGACTTCATGGTGCCGGACGGCCCGGAGGGCGCCAGGTACTTGCCGCTGCAGTCCCTGAAGGCCACCTTCCCGGAGCGGAACTCCAGCGTGTAGCCCGTGGTCTTGTCCGTGGTGGCCACCAGCGCTCCGTCGTTCCTCAGGAAGCGGTTGTCGGAGGTCTGCAGGTGGTACCGCTGCTCGCGGAACACCAGCGTGATCATGGAGTCCACCCCCCACGGCACGTCCCGGTCGATGGCGATCTCGTCCACCTTGTCGCTCAGGTGCGCGTAGCGCTTGCGCGTCACGCTGAAGATGTTCACCTGCGGGTGCATGGCGATGTGCACGCTCCATTTCTCCGCCACGGACACGGTCTGCGCGAAGCAGATGATCCGGTCCTCGGTGCCGCCCAGGTACCGGCCGTACTGCTCGGACTGCAGGGACCAGCGGCCGTCGTCGTGGGCGGTGATGACGAAGCGGCACTCCGGACCGGCGGCCTCGCTGTCTCCGGTGACGTTGCCGTCCTTGTCCGCGGCGATGTACCGGCCCAGATGCGACTTGAGGAAGAACACGTTGGCGCTGGAGTCGTCCCCGCTCTGCTCCAGGGTCCAGATCTGCTTCTTCTTCATGCTGGTGGCCGACGCGTTAATTTTGAAGCCGAACGTCTCTGCGGTGAGGTATTTGTTCCCGCAGTTGATGAGGCCGAACTGGATCTGCAGCATGTCGCTGGTTCCGTTAGCGGAGCCGTTGGTCGTCATGGTCGGGGCCGGGTGGGTGTGTGTGTGTGGGGGGGGAGCCTTCGGTTCGGACCGGTTCTTGCCTTGGAGGGATGAGCGGGGTGGGGGGGTTCGGGGGGGAACGCTTCTGCAAGTGGGCCGAAAGGGTGGGATGCTCCGCCGCCTCGCGTGCTGCTTCTTTGTTTGGGGGAGAGCGTGAGTGTGAGCGCGCGCCTGCCGGTCCTCTGTGCTCCGCTTGTCTCAGCAGCGCGAGCCCGTCGCCACAGCTGCAGCCTTTATAACCATCAGTGACGTAGCTCACCCCCAGCCGAACCTCGCCACAAACCACGCCCACCCCAAAACATACACTCACACACACACACACAAAAAAAATAAATCTGGACGCAGGAGAGCTGGAGGCTGAGGATTCATTCCTCTGGTGATGACCTCGATGTCAGAACCGGTCCAAGGTTCTGACCTGGGTTTCTCTCCACATCCAGTTGTGACCTTTAACCAACTTAACACCGTGGCAATGAACTGGAATATCATTGAAAACTGTAATTCAGCCATTTAATTGTAAAAAATAAATAAATAAAATTCATATAAAGATTAATCGCGCACATGTCTTCAGAAAATTTAAAGTCACGGAAACATAAAACAAAAGAGGTGACAAGAGAAGCAGGCTGCTCACAGAGTGTCGCGTTTGAGAATATTTTTGGAAAGTTGAGTGGAAGGAAAAAGTATTGTCCAAATATGCCACAGGGATAGCTGCAACCCTGGGAGGACTGTAAAGCAAAGACAAATAGTTTACTTTTTTTTTCTGTGTGAAGAACGTTTAAATTTGTCTCCCTGCCAGAAAATTTTCAGACTCACAGGATATTGAAATCTAACACACATCATAACATCTGAACAAATTAAAATATCTGTGAAATTTTTAAATTTATTTAGTAATTCAGCTCAAAAAGTGAAGCTGATTTTAAATTGATCTATTACATTCCACAAAAGGCCACTGCGCTCTATATATATATATACATATATATATATATATATATATATATATATATATATATATATATAAACAAACAAAAACTGGTTATTCAGGGTGCTGAAAGAAAGTTGAGTGGAAGGAAAAAGTGTGTTAGAAAAAGGAGTAGAGTAGAGTAGATTTCAAATGTGTGGAGTGTGGCTATGGTCTAAGTTGACTCCAACACAAACACAAGTAGGAGAAATGATTTAATAGTGACAATAAATTCCGGTTGCTAGCATCATTATGGTAACAATCACTGAATATATTTTCCTGTAATTGCTCACATGCTGTTTGAGCAGTTTGGATTGATGTTGAGCCTAACTGGGGAACACAGAAAAGTTTAGCTAAGTTGCTGGTGTTCAGTTATGTGCAATGTTGCCTGTTTATTTTGTTAAAATATACATTGATATATGCATTGTTGGGATGCATTTTTTTATTTATTTGCATATTTTTGGATGCCTGTCGCCTGGTGTCTTGCGTAGTTTTTGCATTGTCCTGCATTGTGTATCGTTCAGGTGCAGTTGAGGTTTATACTGCGGGCACCGACTGAAACCTCGTGGCACACCACAGTAATTATGAGACTGTCAACATATTTTTCTATGATTCTAACATAATATAAATTTGAAATAGCTTCAAGTTATTTTGGCAAACACACAAAAAAAGCAAAAAATTTTAACATTTACGTATCCAAAGCGTTCTACTAAAGAGTAGCTTAGTTTGCTTATACCTTGGGCTGGCCCTGGTTAAAACTTTTACAGAATTAATACACAAGTTAAAGTTTAAAAAAAAAAGAGAGAGAGGAAAAACTTAACAGGAATTAAAATGAAAGAAAAAAACTCTTCAGTCTGGATGAAGTCACATGAAGGGAGTCGGTTTCTCACTGGACGCTGAAATTATATCAGTTTCTCCTGAATCCGACGGACTCAGCATTCAAATCATGAGGACCGGGTGGGTGTGTGTCCCCGGACAAAGCGCCATTCATGGCCCCGAGCGCGCACATCAGAGGGCAGGAAGGGCCCGGCTCCGTAAACAAAGAGGCCAAACAGATCAGGCCGCATGAACATCGCTCTCAAAAACACACACACACACAAACACACACACAAATACCGAGGCGCACAAAGTGCAGGGGCGCATGTCAGCATCAGCGGCACGCTCTCTGCAGAGACAGAAATGCTTCGCGGCCTTTTTGCGGCCGTTGTCTTGGCGAAGTGAGGCATAACATGGGAGAAACATGGCCCGGGTTGAACTATCGCGATGCAAATGATGGGAGATTTGTTTCAGGCCGAGCAAAGTTCAAACACATATCGGTTTATGTCCAACAAGCAGCACTGGTTGGCAGCATTACTTTATATAGAAGACGATTACTGAGTGTTTTTTTTTTAAACGACTATCTGCTCTGTTTGAGTAAAAATGAAAAAAAAGCTGATATGTCTCCTATTTCCCTCTGGGTGCTGCAGGGTTTGCAAAACAGAAAGAAACGCGACCTTCTTCCTGTCTCTGGTTCCCCCGCAGTCTGGATAAATCCGATCCTCACAAGAAAACGTCTTCAGACAAATTAAATCTGGGAGCATTTTCACCTCCCCGCAGCGCCGCGCTAATAAAATCACCTGATTTGCTCGGATGTGTTATTGGGAAACATGGATCCTAAAAACCGGTTTGTAAAGATTTAAAAGCTCGAAGAAGAGAGAGAGAGAGAGAGAGAGAGAGAGAGATATTTAGGGTCCACATCTCGGGATTTTCTTTTTTTCTTTTATTTTCTTCGGTCGCCTAGCAACAGATCCGCCGGAGCTGCTATGCTGTGATATAATAACACTTCAAACAATTCAGTCGTGCTCATACTGAAAGCAGATCATCTGTATAGTCGGGAATCTTCAACATTTGCCTCAGAATCCAATGTTTGGATTTGCTGATCAAAGTCCGGGCTTTGACTAGGCCATTTTAACACGTATAATTTGATTTAAGCAATTTCCTTGTAAGCTTAGTTGCATTCGTAGGGCAATTGTTCTCCTGCAAAGTGAATCTTCATCCCCAGTCTCAAGTCTTTCGCAACTTCTAAGACATATTTCTGGTGTTATGAGTGAAATAATCTTTAAAAAAAATGTAATAAAAAAAAGATCAATATTAAACAATTATTTACTTTAAAACAAGCGCTTATCTTGGTAAAAAAAAAAAAAGTTTCTTGTAAATTATTTTATTCCAAGTGTATTAAGATATTTTCAACAGAAACTAGATCAAAAATATTCGGTAATATTTTGTGTTTTTACAGTGAACACTTGAGTTTAACTTTAACAGAAACATGACCCATGAAATGACCAAAGGACGTGCTGCAAATGATGACTTCAGGATCAGTTTTGTGTGCAATATTTTGGTTTCCCAGGACAAACAATTTATAATCTGTCAGATTACCTCAACATCTGAGCAGTTAACTCAGGATTCATCCGCCTTGGTCTCTTAAATCCTGCTACAAGAAAGGCTCTTTACATTTGCTCAAGTTTAACCATCATCTCAAATGAGTGTGTGTTTGCTTTGTGGCTCTGAAATCAAAAAAATCAAAGCATCTTTTTGGAGGAGGTAAATGAAAGAGTCTCACAGCGGGAGGGGGATGACTGACTGCCCTGACCATAAGACGTGAGTGGATGGAAAACATGACTCAGCTTCTTTGCATTGGATGACACGCAACTTTACAGCTAACTGAACCCAAGGATTTGAATCGCCAGGGTGACATGTAAGCAAATCAGAGACAGGAGCAGAAATATTCAAAGAGCAGTGGTACTGTGGTGCATACGTGTGTGTGCATGTGTGTGTGTGTGTTTGTGTGCCTGTGCTGGGGCCACACCTTAGCGTTTTCTGGGTATCTCTCCTCCGTTGTTGGAGAAATAAATAAATAAAAATCAGACCCAGTTACCCACATACAACTCTCTGACTGAGCATCTCACATATTTTGTCTGGTGTGATGAGATATGTACTGATTTATGACGGCAACATGCCTCACACAAACACACACACACACACACACACACACACACACACACAATGGCCACAGGAGACACCCACAGCTGGTTCAGGGAAAAGAGGAGGGAACCGAGAAAAAGAGAAAGAGGGGGGTCGCTATCTTTTTGTTCACAAGGCATGTTGCTATGGAGACCGGCCTCGAGTACTTTCGCCGACTGCCTGGCGGTGAGCGCTGACACACTGACACACTTGCTGCCTCTGAGGCAGGCCGTCACTGCAGCAATGCAGCAGGGGCATCAGAGCGCTGACCAATCAGCAGCAGAGATGTTTGGCAGAGCTGTGAGCTGAAGCTGAGAGTCTGGGGGAGGTTTCCATGCAGTCCGGTTCGCTGCAGCTGTTGAGGAGTCATAGATCCCCAATTTCCCTTCCAAGCGGCGAAACGCTGGGAATGGAAGGAAAATATCCAAACGAGAGAAAAAGAGGGAATGAGTGTGAGAGAGAGAGAGAGGGAGAGAGAGAGAGAGAGAGAGATGGCTGGTGCCAGGGGGGATTTTGTTCCTCATCTGACCTATATTCAGTCTGTCTCCTATGACCCCTGCCTGCAGAATGATGATGAGTGTGCACTCTAAAAAATGCTCTCTCTTTTTATTGACTCAACTTGAAAAAAAAATTTGTCAACAATTCAAACCACTCAGTTTTGTAAGTTACAAACATTGCCTGTTATTAAAGGGGCAGTGTTATGTATTTTCTATGCACATAGTGCCATTTTATAGCACAATCAAGTAACTATGTTACCTTAAGTTGCTATGAAAATGCTTTAAGCAGATATCGAATGCGACTTAAAATAAATGTGACTTTTCCTTGAAATTGTGTCTCTGCCTCTTTAAAAACTCCTGCTCTTTCTAACACTCTTCCTTCAAGAAGTCATCACAACATGGCTCCTCTATTAACCCTTTAACAACATTATTATCATCGTTTCACTGATAAGTAGCTCCTATAATGAGATCAACTGATGCACACTTCCTGGGTGTTTGCTAATTGCTGCTGGCTAGTCTGAAGGAGCTGAGAGGAGGGCTGCTGTGTGAGGCGGAAACTTAAAAACTGCAGCTCCAAGGAGGAGCTTTGCCTCGAAGGCGGGGCTAGGTCCACCCAGGCGTTTTGCACAGCTGGATGGTTGCTACAGGAGGTTAAAAGATTTGTCAAACATGCATGAAAGAATCAATTCAACACTCCAGTTAAAGGGAATAACATTGTAACATCAGAAAAGCCAACTTTACATAATACTGCCCCTTTAAATAAACCCAACATG